TTTAATTTTTGACCCAAAGACAGCATTTAAGGAAGTTCACAGAGATGTTACGGCCAACTTAGTGTTAGATGGCTTTTACATTTTTCTTTTTCTAGGAGAATTGTCTCATCAGCTTTGAAAGTTTGTTTGTTCTCTACAGTTTTCCAACACAGTCAAGAACCCACTCCACATATGCCGCTGTGGTTTATACAGCACGAGTTAATGTGGGTTTTAGGTACTTAACATATGTGTCACTATAGTTAGAATCGTAACTGTGGTTATAATTTGCAGACTTATGTGACTCAGAAAAGAAGTTCTTGTAGAATACTTGCTGTTAGGATCAGGTAAGGAAACTGAAGTGCAGATCCATCACAGCTAAAATGTCAGGTATCAGAAGATAAAGGCAGGTAGTCGTTCTTGTGTGCCACGTGTGAGGTCTTTATTATAGTGTGCGAGGTATGGCCTTTGCTTCTTATGTTCTCAGCAGATTTTAGAAACAACAACAACCTCCTCACCCCAGAGAGATTTTATATATATATATATATATATATATATATATATATATATATATATATGAGAGAGAGAGAGAGAGGAGAGAGATTCATTCTATTAGTTCTGTTTCTCTCGAGATCCCTGACTCATACACGGGGCAAGCATGGGAAGTGGCAAGATCAGGTCAGTTTGAGAGAAAATAGATTCTAAATAGATTCTGTTTTCCATATGCATATCTCCTAACAAAGGAATGAAAAATCAATCCATTACTCCTCTCTTGATATAGTTTATTTAGATGCACAGCCAGGCCCATAGAACCTAGAGCCTTCTTCATCTACCCAGATGCACCCACTCTTGATCCCTGTCCTAGTTTTTAACTTCAGCACAGAGCCATTGCACACACAGACTGTGCTGCTTTACCCGATCTCAGCAGATGACCTTTTCTTTCAAGAAAAGCCTCTTTATTTTCTTGATCACTTGGGCTGTTTTCTTTTAATACTTGGATTTGGCAGGCTTTTTTTTTTTCTTTCTGATACCGAGGTGCCCACAGTGAGCTCAATGTGAGTAAACAGCTTGGAACACAGAAGCTGAATGGGCTCTGGCCACATGTGCCGAGTGGTGGCCAGCCAAGTCATCCTCCACCCAGTGCCAACTCAGAGAGGCTTCAGTTCTGGTGTCAACACCACTTCCCCAAGTCACACACGTATCCTCTGTTTTTGGTCCTGACATTTCTAGTCTGGGTGTCATTCAAATGTTGGGTTCCTCCTCTATGCCATGCACCACCGTACACCTTTTGATGTGTGTTTACTCATTGGTTTTGAAGCTAAGCCTGTGAGATAAGTGATCATCCATTTCCCAGTGGAGAAGTTGGCCGTGTGCTTACAGTGCGGGATGAATTTCAGTACCTGGAATTAGTGCCTGGGGGAGGACATAAGATAAGACAGGAAGAGCCAGCCTCATGCCAGGCTCAGATGTCAGTAAGTGGATTAGATTTTGTCCTCTGAGCTCTGGCCTTTGTGGCAGTTTATTCTCTGTCTAGGAATGTGAGAAATATTTGTAAGAGTGGCTTTAGGAACCTTTAAAATGGAAAAGTATCAAACTTTAAGCCTGAGGAAACTCAACTATCCAGGAGGAGTGAGTCCTTCACGGTTCTGCAATTTTCCTCAAGAGACTACATTCTCCCTCATCTCTGTCCCCACATGACTGTGGTTTGGATATGCCCATTGGGTGATTCAGCTCTGGCAATGAGAGTTCCTTTTCAAAAATTTGTATCATATAGGAATGCTAGAAGACTCGTGTTGTTACATTCTAAGAGGAAATGTTAAAAATTACTACATATGTTTTGTCAATAATAGGAAAGATACCCAGAGCTTACTTACCTGTCTTCACCATGTTTATAACTTTACAGAAGAGAGAGTGATTTGTGAATGTGTAATAGATTCTAGGCTTTCCATATGCATTATTTAATTTGTCTCCAACATATCCTGGCCTTATTTTCATTTTATATTCAAGAAATGTGATGATTAGAAAGATCAAATAGGATCACATGGCTGACTTTAATTTTTATTAAGTGTAATAAACTTTAAAAATTTTAGACTTATTTTCTTGCTTGAGAATACAGTAATAAAATATTATCTCACCTTGAAGTCCCCCCTCTTTTTTTTTTTAAATTCCTGGGACTTGAAGGCAATGCTGATGCTTCAGCGTCCCACTGGGATTTCACTCCCAGAGCGGTCTCCCCAGACTTAGCTTTTTCTTTCTCTTTGTCTATATACTGTGCCAATACCTTAATCTTTACCAGCTTACTATTACTTACACACTTAACTGTTTGTGCATCCCTTCCTTTCTTAACTAGTCCTTAGTAAATGCTAATTTCATAAACAGAAAGTGATAATTGTAGAGGTAATTTAGAAGTGCTCCTGGAGCATGTGGAAGCTAATAGAGTCTTGCAGGGTCTGAGTGAGACTCAGAACAGCTCAGAGGAACCCGAGTACTAGGCAGAACAGAGAGGGAGCCAGTGTCAGAGGTGGTCACGTGGGAGGAAGCAGCATCGCTTGTTCCTATTGGGAAGAAATGTGAGTTACATTTGGATGACATGCTTATTATTCAGCTCTTTCAAAACTACCCCTAATGGTATCTCTTTTCTGTTGTTTCCTCAAAATTAATTATCTTTTGGTAGCTATGGTAACTCATTCGAAGCTCTGTTATGCATGAGGTCTGTACACACTGACCTATTGCCTTCAGCATTCTAAACATTTTCGTGCTTAGTCGGTAGTTCTGCATTACAGTGTTCCCTTCCTTCTGTTGAAGTTCGCTTTCCCCTGTAGACTGGTAAGGACAGTTTTATAAGGAATCCGGGATGACAGACTGGCTGACAAGTGGCAGGAGATGCCCACCATCGTGAGTAGTGTTTGTGCCGTGTGTTACCTGTATGCACATCTTCCTAGGCAGGTCTCATGTGGAGGAACTTTCAACACTTGGTGCTTACCGGCTTGGTTTGCCCAGCTTCCATGCTCTGGGACCCCATGTTCTCACTCTGTGGCTCTCAACACTTTCCTTCCTTCTTGGGACCCAGTGCCTCTTGTCTGGCCCTGGTATAGCCAGTCCCACCTCTGGGTGTGTGGCTTTTCTTTCCCTGGGCTGCTTTCTCACCTGTCACCACCTTTCCAGCCCAGCTCCCTGCCTGATCTGGCCTCTGGTTTTGCCCTCCCTCATTTGGATGACTTCCGAGCCTGAGCCTTAGCTCTCTGAGGTAGACCAGATCACCTCATTGTCTTTTCTTCTGTGGTCAGAGTATTGTTTAACTCTTGAGTCTTTCTTTTATGGGAGGAGGGACAGATAACCCCTGCTTGCCAAGTGATTGGGTTAGATAAAGAAGTGGACCTTGCAACTCCTGGTGCACAGTGAGTTTCCCACTCATCCTACAGCACCAGTATTGAAAAATGACTTTTTTTTTTTCCTTAAGGAACTATTTAAACACTTTAATCATGGGCTAACCGTGTGACTCTGTGTGGGTATGTACGTGTGGATTCAAGTGCTTGTGGAAGCCAGAAGAAGTTGTGAGATCCCAGGAGCTGGAGTTAGTGGTTGTGAGCCACCCCAGATGGGGGCTGGGACCCGAACCCAGGTCCTCTGTGGGAGCATTCTGAACCATAGAGCTGTCTCTCCAGCCCCTGCTCTTCTTTCTTCATACTTGGTATTTACTTGCTAAATATTTACTTAGTGCCTGCTTCATGTTAGACTTTGTCCTAGGGGCTGAGGATACATCCTGGAGGCAAAGCAGACAACAACAAACAAAGAAAAAAAAAAAACATCTAAGGCACCAAAAGAAAAGAAGACTCTCACATGTCCATTTCAGTCACCCCTTAAAATAGTCACTCACCACACATACAAGTAGACTAAGAACAGTATGACAGGAGAAGGTGGGTGTGTGAGTGTCCTTAAGGTTTTTAAATGCTTTTAATGTGTTTTAAAATGCTTTTGTATGTTTTTAGAATGCTTTTTATGTTTTTCAGTGCTTTTTATGTTTTTTTTTAAAAATGCTTTTAATGTTTTAATGTTTTAAAAATATTTTTAAAATGCCTTTACCTCTGTGGGATGCTTGCCCATGTTCATGCTTCCAGGTGCAACATGGATTCCTTGGTGGCGTGACACGGAATCGGGTCAGTCCCAGAGTCTTGGTCACAGATAACCCTTGTATTCACGTTAAATAAGCTGGATTTTAGCCAAGCGGTGGTGGTTGTTTCTAGGTAAATGACTCCCTTTTGCTCAGAGCACCAACAGAGCCTTCACCACTTCACTGTCCCCCAGTATGGCATGTGCCACGGTATCTGACACAGGGAGGTGGCGCAGAAAAGGATTGTGGGCGCAGAAAACGCACGTTTCTCCCGGGGAGCTTTTACACTCTGGGGAGGGGTGTTGATAAAGTAGAGTTGTGCTTAAGTTGTAGTCCCTTTAGAATCATTTTTTTTTTTTTTTTTTGGTTTTTTTCAAGACAGGGTTTCTCTGTGTAGCTTTGCGCCTTTCCTGGGACTCACTTGGTAGCCCAGGCTGGCCTCGAACTCATAGAGATCTGCCTGGCTCTGCCTCCCGAGTGCTGGGATTAAAGGCGTGTGCCACCACCGCCCGGCTCCAAAGAATCATTTTTAATTTTCAGTATTTACCAAATAAATCTAAGCTTCTAAGATCAGTGACTCACACTTTTCCAAGAGCCTGAAGAAGGTATATGGTTAGATATTTATTGACTGGCCTCTGATTTTAATGTTAATAGTTCCCCACCGGAAGGGGAAGAGTCCATCTAGGTGTGGCAGCTTCTTCATGAGAATTGGCATAGCTCTCTGTAGTCCCAGAGTTGAAGATGCCAAAAGCCTTCTCCCAGTTTGTTGCTCCCTTACGCTCAGCCCCTCCCCCTTACCTCTCTGTTCTTACATATCTCACACAGTGAGAAACCTGGAGAACTAACGTGGCCTTTTCCAAATAGCACAGCATGTCAGTGGAAAAGTTTGGACCAGAGTTTGGGTAAATGCTTTCTCCAAGGCGGGGAAAAGGTAAAATAATACAGCTATATAATGTTTCTGGTCCCTTTATTATTTTAAGCTCTTAAAGGGTCAAGCGTCGTATTCACCTGGGTCTCTCTGTCCCTGCATCCTACCCCACAGTGACTTTACCCCACAAGCACACACCAGCGTGCTTCAGCATTTGCATCAGGTCTATTTAAGCACAGTGGGGGTGCCTCATCATGTACCAAGTATAACCCACGTTGGAGACCCTGCCCCTCAGCTCGTCCGCTTCTGTCGCTTTCTCACAGTCCAGGCTGACTAAGACGACACACAGGAGAAGATACTCCAGCTTCCCTTCAGGATCTGCAGCAGCTGGAGAGAAGTCAAACAGATGGGCTTTTCCACCCTGATTATCCCGACTTCCTAAATTTAGAAATACATGCTTTAAAAAAAATGTAAATTACCCAAGGGGGTGGCGTAGCACATGCCAGGCTGTGCTAACGAGTGCAAATAGATGTCATCTGCCGGCTCGATGCTCGGCTCCCACTGCTCCGGCTCTATTTTGTTTCCTTTAAGTTTGTTTTATTTTATTACTGTTTTTTTTTTCTTCTGAAGCTGTGCTGTCAAGTCTCTGTTCACATGTTGACTATTAGTTTAAGATTTCTTTCCTCCTTTCTTTCCTTCCTTCTTTCCTTCCTTCCCCCCTCCCTTCCTTTGTTCGTTAGTTCGTTCGTTCGTTCCTTCCTTCCTTCCTTCCTTCCTTCCTTCCTTCCTTCCTTCCTTCCTTCCTTCCTTCCTTCCGAGACAGGGTTGTAGACCATATTGGTCACAAACTTTTGCTGTAGTCAAGGATGGCATTGAACTCTTTATCTTCTGCTTCCTAAGTGCTGGCAGGTATATAGGATATTAACCTAAAATGGCATGTGATCTATCTTTGAAGGACTCAGAAGTCCTTCAAACTAGTGGACCAGGCTAGGAGAGGAAGGTATTAGATAAGGACCTTCTCTTGTCTTACTTTGGCTATAAACTAGCTGGGTGGGTTTAGGCGGGACACTTCCTCCACTATATGGGTGTACTAGATTCAGTAGATTCTAATGAACCGTAACTATGAGTTATAAGGATCTCTCTCTTGCTTGCTTTAAAAAGTCTATTTGCAAGTTATTTTAAACATCATCATGCCCTAGAATATATAGCACAGTGCCCAACATAGATTAGATGTTTAAATATTGTCAAAAAAATCAACATTATATATCTTACATTTCCTCTTAGGAAAACTTATTGAGAAAACTTTAGAAACTAAATGTTTAATGACCACTTTGTTTTCATTAGAATACACTAGACTAGTCTCTTCTGTATCCTATAGTTGTTGAAGGGACTGAACAATGGTCCAGAGACATGGGAGGCATGAACAGACATTGAGGAGGTGTAGACTTACATATCACCTTCCACTAGGGTGTAAATTATATGGAAGAATTACTTGATTCATTCGTTCATTCTTTTATTATCTGGATCTTGCCATGTGGCCAAGGCTGGCCTGATACTCATTGTGTAGTCCAGGCTGAATTTGAGTTTTTCGATTCTCCTGCTTCAGCCTTGATTGCTGGGATAATAGGCATGTACCATCATGTCAGGATGGGAATCATATTGTATGTGACATGAATGTTTATAGGACCACTCTTATTCTAAAGTTCCAAAAACACACACACGCACGCACGCACGCACGCACGCACGCACGCACGCACGCACGCATGTATGTCTGTATGTATAACAATCTGTGAGTCCATCAAAGGAAGTGGATTGAGTGGAGATAACTCTAGAAGGTTTTTCTCAGAGGAAGAGTGGAGAGTGGACATTTAGGAAGCAGGAGGATGATGGGGAAGAAGGGAGAGAACATGGCTGCTCTAGCCAATCTCAGCAGAGTCAGCAGGCAGTCCCAGAGCAGAGCCGAGCTTGGGAGGTGTGAACCTTTTCCTTGTGAAGGGTGGTGGGATCAAGGGAAGTTGAGGCTAGAGATCAGGGCAGAGGACAGCAGAGAAGTAGACATTTAGATCTTACCTGGTGCCCAGGGAGAAGGCTTCTAGAGTTTTACACAGAGGAGTAACTTGCTCCAGATTGCTTTAAGACATTTGACTTCAGAGTTGTGTGGAGGATGGGCTGGCCACGGGCTAGGAGATAGTGGAAGAATTTGCTGGGATACGTCAAGATCCAGTGAGAGTCCTAATAGACAGAAGAAAGCAAGTCTGAGAGATTCTCAAGGAATCTGTTAAAACCTTGGAATTATTCCTGTTTCAAAGCCAAAATAAAAGAAAAAGGATGTGTGTGGAAGCATTGTAAAGAGAGAACTTGCTTCCTCAGCACATATACTAAAATTGGAACAATACAGAGAAGATTAACATGGCCCATGTTCAAGGACGACATGCAAATTTGTGAAGCATCCCCCTTTTTAAAAAAATCAGATAAAGGTGATAAGACACATCATGGAGAAAATGAAAAAGAAAACAGAGGAGCAAGATAATGAAGCTATTGGGGATATTAAACCAGGAGGATGAGGGGGTTGAGGAACTCACTGATGCATGTAAAGAAAGAGAGCGTGGTCCTCGGGAGAAGAAAGTGCAACAGGAGATTTCTGAGGGAAACCGTTACCACGGCTCCAGCTGCTGCTCTTGCCTCAGCTGCTACCAAAGCTGAGCACCTGGTCACTGCGGGAGAGAGGTGAAATCTCTGGTAGCTCTCCTGCGTGAAACACAGATGGAGAAACTCAAGTTCGGATATTTTGAAGAGCTGGAAACCTTTATGGACAGAGACCGAGAGGCCCCAGAACAACAGCGGCAGCCGTTAGTTACTTCCTGAACACCAGAACTTCCACGTGGAGCAATTGAAATACGATGAGTTAGGAGGCCAACAACAAAGGGCAGCAGCATGGCCCGAACCCTCAGCGAGCACACCAGCACTCCAGAGGAGCTGGTCTGGCAGCGGGACACCCTGGCATGATGCCTCATCAGCGGCTCCCTCCCTACCCTCAGATGCTGTCACTCCTGTCTCTCCCAGCCAGGTCACAAGACTGATGCCTGGGCAGCCCATGCCAGGCTGCACGATTCCCACTGTGGCAGCCCACAAGCCCACATCCACCCAACTGGGTGTGGCCCTGTCCCTCCTGGTATGCCTCCCTCCGATGATGCCTGGAAACCTCTCAGGACCCCGGGTACGCCTCACAGCACCAGAGAGCATGTATCCTCCTCCACCACCACAGCAGCAGCAGCTGCCTCCGCTTGGGGATGGGGGTCCCTCCACCTCCCGCTCCAGGCCCATTTCCATGCCGGAACACAAAAGTCCATAGTAGAGATTTGCTTCCAGGTGGTCCTAGTCACCGCCATCAGAGTACCCAGTTACTTGAGCTAAGGAAACCTCATTCCTTCTTGTGTGTGTTCTAGACTCTTGGAGTGGAAATGGAAATGAGCTTGCCCCTCACAGAGGCGACAGACCCCAGTGCCTTTGACAGTGCCCCCCCCCCCACTTCCTTCCATTCTCTTCCAAAGGAAACTCGCTCCAAATGCTCACCTCTCCCCCTGGAGTCCTAGAAGGAGCCCTGGATTCTGGTTCATACTGTGGTCCTTTGTAACCTTTAATGAGATTGCTTTGCACTTTGAAAGATGCAGGTATAGGGATTTTTAAAAGGCCGGTAACCTTCAGAACCCAAGTTCAACGCAGCTCTTTGTGTGTTTCATAGGTTTCACTCCTGTAATAACACCCATTCGATTCTGTGAGGGCCGGGATACTGTACGGGTTTGTCCAATCCACTCAGTGTGGATTTTTTTTTCTTGTTGCTTTGTTTATTTTTTTAAATGGTGGGAGTTTTGAGATTTTGAGAGAAAATGAGTGAAAGTAGCTTAATTTCTTCTCTTTCATTGGATAGATGAAATAATACCATTTATGAAAAAATCGTAAAGAGGCTATTTCCACCTTAGCATGGGGGAACAGGAAGAAGGAAAGAAGTGTAGAATTTGACGGAGTTTCAGTTAGTAGGCGAGGAATGTAAAACCAAAATCTGTTCATGGGGAATCAGATCCAGCCTTTAGTGTACAGTTTCTGGTTCTAGTGTGAGTCAGCAGGCTGGACCTCAGAAATCTAGACTGATAGAAATATTCACTTCGTTCCCATGAAATAATACCCTTGAGCAGAAACTGAGTGAAAGTATCTTTCTTATGGGGACAGGAGGATGTGAAGTATAAATGGATTGAATGAAGTCTGTAAAAATCCTAGTTTAGAACTTTGGAATCTTGTGAAAGGCTTGGAAAATACAATGCATGATTTTGAGACTAGCAGAACCCAGCAGATGTTCTCTTCCTGAAATTGTCTGGAGATTAATCACTGAGCCTGAAGGTTTTCCTGTTTCTCAGAGGTCCTCGAGACTCTCTGGCTGTCCCTTCCCCCAGGGCTTTCCCCCTAAGTTACATGTGTGTCACTTGTCTATCTTATACTTCTGTGACTGGCCTGGCAGGGGGCGGGTGCTTTGCTCTGGTCCTCTCCCTTCCCCCTCCTCTCCCCTCCCTAATAGTCGGATATGAAGCTAAGTAAGCCGTGCTTATCAACGATTGCATCTTCTCATCCATCTAAATGATAAAAGCATAAATTTAGTGTGGAAATAAATCATGCCTTGTTTTGCAGTTCTGATCTGTAGGTTATAGTCTTTGTTGTCATCATGACGGTTTCCTGTAAAATGTCCATTATAAATGGTTCTACCTTGATGCATTAGTGAGAAGTTTAAGCAAGCTAATGTACACACTGGGCATGGTCACTAGCCAGGCGAAATACGCCATGTGTTTTTGTGGCTTTCCTGTTCTCCACTGATGTCCCTTATTGCCACGAAGACATCCGAGTATGCACCCCCTCTGCCAACTCAGATTTCCTAAGGACTATGTGTTTGATTTAAATGTTTGACGCAATGGTGGCATGTGCCTTTATTCCGGGAGGCAGAAGCTGACAGATCTCTGAGTTCAAGGCCAGCCTGGTCTACAGAGTGAGTTCCAGGAGCTACACAGAGAAACCCTGTCTCAAAAAACAACAAAACACAATAAAAAGTTAGACAAAGACACATTCCTGATGTGTCATGCATGCTGATGCTCAGTGCTGCTATCTACAGAACATTGTTAGTCTCTCTCTCAGGCATAACTACTTTTTCTTGTCAACTGCAATGTAAGACAGGCAATTATCCTAATTTTAGAAATAAAGACAGAGGGGCTCCAGGGTGTGATTAAGCCATTCCTTGCTTGTCAGGGCTGTGGGAACTCAGATGAGAACCTAGGTGGGTCTGCTTGTAAAGTCACTAATCATGCCTCAGAGAAAGGACCCTTACATGGTTACTGACAAGGGTTTTGTTGTTGTTGTTTTCCAGTGAACTTCATTGAGGTTCAGTTAGCATGGAAACATTTTCAACTATATAAAGAGAATAGTTTTGAGATGGCTGGATATATCCATTGAGTCACCATTTCAGTAAAATTACAGGGCGTTTTTATTTGTGCTTACAGATTACCTGTAACAGGCGTAAGAAGCTGCTGGTCTGTTCATTGAGATTGTGTATTATTTTGTGCTTGGTAAGCTTGTTTAGATAGAATCCTATAGTATATGCATTTTAAAACCTAGTATGCTTTTTAAAAAAATAATTACTATTAACTCTGAGTTATTTCCCCTTTTTAAAGATTTATTTTATGTGTAGGGATGTTTGGCCTCCATGTGTGTATATGGACCACATGTGTGCCTGGGAGGTCAGAAGAGGGTGTTGAACCGCTTAGAACTGGAACTATGGATGGTTGTGAACCACCATGTGGGTGGTGGGAACTGAACTTGGGGCCTCTGCAAGGGCAGCATGAGGTCTTAATCTCTGAGCATCTCTCCAGCCTTGTCATAATGATTTAGAAACTCCTCTGAAGGCATCGATAGTTTGATTGGATTGTTGTTGGCGAGAACTTCATGTGGATATACTTGGTTTTTCCAATCTTCTGCTGGGGAACATTTGAGTTGTTTCTAGCTTGGAGATTACTGTGGACACATTTTATTCTTTTATTTTTTGGGGGGGTGGTTAATAAATGGCTGGTGTTTATATTTCTTGGAAACTTTCAAATTGTTTTACAAAGTAATTGCACCATTTTCCTTGGTGAACTGTTTGTTCAAATATCTTTCTTGCTTCTTTCTTTCTTCTTTTTTTAAAAGCGCCTTTGTTTTCTTACTATTGAGTAGATGTTAACTTTGAATAGTTCCCCATTTCTGTTATTCTATCTTGAAATTCATTTTCCTTCCTTTATTTTCTATTCTACTTTTAAGCTTGTCCAATGAATTTTAAACTGCAGACATTTAAAACTTCTAGCTCTTCATTTATTTCTTATTATAGCATTTATTTCTTAAAACTAAGACTTCCTGTATATTTATTATAGATGCCCATTTTCTTTGTTGAACATAATTGTGATAATTTAAAATCCACGCCTGAAAATTCCAGCATCTGACTCATCTTGAGACTTGCATCGTAATTTAATATGTCCTGTTACCTGGGCCTTGGGATGCAAGAAGTTGGTTAAGTATAATTCTGAGTGTGCCTGTGAGGTATCTCTTGATGAGATTAGCACTTAAACTAGTCGGCTGTGAAAGGGCGTCACTCATGTGGGTGAGCATCATAATGTTGACGGTCTGGAGAGAACAGAGAGAGAGAGAGGGAGGAGAGAGAGAGAGAGGGAGGGAAGAGGGGGGGGGGCGAGGAGGAGGCTGGGTCCTGGAAGTGCCAGACTGAAGAAGCTGAGGTATAATTCTTCTAGCCTCTGTGCTTCTGATTCTCAGATCTTCAGAGCTGGACAGGAATAACATCCCTTCCCCTCTGGCTATCAGAGCTTACTACACCAGCTTTCCTGTGTCTGTAGCTCACAGCTGAGTGATGATGGGGCTTCTCCACCCCCAAGAATCATATATGCCACAGTACCTTGTTATTAGTCTGTCTATAGAAGTGTCTGTGTGTATATACACAGGGAGGGAGGGAAGGAAGAAGGTAGGAGAGAAAGGAGGACAGAGAGTATAAGAGAGAGAGAGAGAGAGAGAGAGAGAGAGAGAGAGAGAGAGAGAGAGAGAGGAGAGACTGTTTAATATAGCAGCTATCAATTGTCATTTTCTTTTAAAATTAGATTTTTTTCTGAGGCTTTCTTTATGAGGTGCAATTTTAAATTATGTCAGCAGTATATTGAATCAAGCGTAGTTTATTGGAATCTGGTTTCTGCTCCCTTGCCCCTAACATGCTGGTTGTTATTACTCATTCAGTAAGCAGCCAGTTCACTTGGTCAGAAAGCCTGTAAAGTGTGTCATGCCCATGGCGAGTGGTGGCTCGGAGCTCATGTCAGGCTACCCAAGTCTTCCTGTACGTCTGTGCTTCATTGTTCAGCAAGAGACTTACTTTTTCGATATGTCTGAAATTGTGGGGTCCACTTTCCCACCCTCTCCTTTCTCAGGTTCCTCCCATATTCTCTACTTGCCTTGACCTAGCCGGGTTCTTCCATCTATTAGATGGCAGGCATTCTAACTTAGGGTTTCTACATGCAGTGGTCATGCTAGGTGGTGGGCCCTTGACATAGTTCCCACTGAAATTTGGTTTGTCCCATGCTTCAGGTATACGTGTTCAAGTATCTTCCAGAAAACTGGGTGGGATTCTCATAGAAATTTGACTCTCTCCCAGTCATCTTCAAGGGTCTCTCTTATTCTCTTCTGGCTCTGGTCCCTTGAGCCGCTTCCTCTGCTTCTTAGGGATAATTGTTATGATGAACTTTTTTTTTTTCAATGGGAACTTATGGTTGAGAGGCATCACCACCATGAAGCCATCCTTAGGACAAAGCTGCAAACACCTAAAACTCATGTAGGCC